AAAAAAAATGAGCTGGGCGCGGTGGCTCATGCCTGTAATCCTAGCACTTTGGGAGGTGGAGGCAAGAACCCAGGGGTTCAAGACCAAGCTGAGCAACTTGGCCAGACTTCATCTCTACAATAAATCAAAAAATCAGTCGTGTGTGGTGGTGCATGCCTGTAGTTCCAGCTACTTGGAAGGCTGAGGTGGAAGGATAGATAGCCTGAACTCAGCAGGTCGAGGCTACGGTGGTGTGAGCATGCCACGACACTCCAGCCTGGGTGACAGAGCGAGACTCCGATTCAAAAAATAAAATAAATAAAATAAATGCCGTAAGGCACTGTTTGCAGTCTTCCTGAAGTGGACTAATTTCACTCATTGCCCGGGTATTGGCTCTTCTTCCCTCCCTACTCAGGGTCTTCGAAGGAGAACTACATAGTGGAAGAGGGTCAGAATGCCTACCTGCCGTGTTTCTATACTCCAAGCTCCTCGGGGAAACTCGTGCCTATGTGCTGGGGCAAGGGAGCCTGTCCTGTGTTTGAATGTGGCAGCAAGGTGCTCAGCACTAATGAAAGGAGCGTGAACTATCAGACATCCAGCAGATACCAACTGAAGGGGAATTTCCACCGCGGAGATGTATCCCTAACCATAGAGAATGTGACTCTAGACGACAGTGGGACCTACTGCTGCCGCGTCCAGATCCAGGGTATAATGAATGATAAAAAATTGAACCTGAAATTGCTCATCAAATCGGGTGAGTGGACCTTCACATCTCTTCTTTATGCGTAAGATTCATCTGTGGGCTGGGCACGGTGGCTCACGCCTATAATCCCAGCACTGTGGGAGGCCGAGGTGAGAGAATTGCTTGAGCCCACGGGTTTGAGACCAGCCTGAGAAACTCGGTGAGACCTCACCTCTACAATATACAGAACAATTAGCCGGGTGTGGTAGCACGTGCCTGTAGTTCCAGCTACTTGGAAGGCTGAGGCGGAAGGATTGCCTGAGCCCAGTAGGTAGAGGCTGTGGTGGCCAGGAGTGTGCCGCTGCCTTCAACCTGGGTGACAGAGTGAGACTCCAACTAAAAAAAAAAAACCAAAAAAGCGATTTATCTGTGGGTCATATTAAATATACTGGCCTCCCTAATTATTATAGTCCTGGAGGCGGGCCCCCAAGACCTAAAGTTTAACAGGCCCCGTCAGTGATGCCCAGCGATGTTAAATACCCTCCATCTGTTTTAAAACTCATGGATGAACTCTCTAAACTGGAAGAAAAGCCGAGATCAGTGGTTAGAGACCCTGACTGTTCATTGAAACCATCTGGAGAGTTTTTAAATAACTACAGATGCATGGGCCCCACCCATAAAAACCGGAGAAATCAGCATCTCTGCCGATTAGGTAGAGCCTAAGTGTTTGCTTTTTACAAAGCCTGCCCCCCCAGGTGATTCTACCCCAGGTGTAACCAGAATTGTGGACAACTGGGTTGTACATGTGTGCTAGGAGGTAAATAGGCTTGCACGTTTTAAAATGTATAAAATTACCAGGCGCGGTGGCTCAAGCCTATAATTCCAGCACTTTGGGAGGCTGAGGTGAGAGAATTGCCTAAGCCCATGGGTTTGAGACCAGCCTGGGCAACTTGGTGAGACCTCATCTCTACAATAAATCAAAAAATTAGCCGGGTGTTGTGGTTCGCGCCTGTAGTTCTAGCTACTTTGAAGGCTGAAGCGGAAGGATTGCTTGAGCCCAGCAGGTCAAGGCTGCTGTAGCTGTGACCATGTCACTGCACTCCAGCCCAGGCGACAGGGTGAGACGCAAACTCAAAAAAAATAAAAATAAAAATAAATAAAAATAAAATAAAAAATAAAAAAAAATTTATAAAATACTACTAGGCCGCCAGGCATGGTGGTTCACACCTATAATCCCATCACTCTGAGAGGCTGAGGCAGGGGGGCTGGTTGAAGTCAGGAGATCCAAAACAGCCTTGGCAACATAGTGAGACCTAGTCTCAAAATAAAAATAAAAAAGTTAGCTGGGCATGGTGGCACATGCCTATAGCTCTAGCAGGTGGAGGCTGCGGTGGTGAGAGCGTGCCACTACACTCCGGCCTGGGTGACAAGAGTGAGACTCCAACTCAAAAAATAATCAGCCCTGTTGGCAGGGCTGACGCAGGAGAATCACTTAAGCCTAAGAGTTTGAGGCTATAATGAGCAATGATCATGCCACTGCACTCCAGCCTGGGTGTCAGATCGAGACTTGGCCTCTTAAAAAATAAAAAATAAGCCGGGCTGAGTGGCTCAGCTTGTAATCCCGTGCCTTGGGAGACTGAGGTGAGTGATTTGCCTGAGCCCGTGGGTTCGAGACCCACCTGGGCAACTCGGTGAGCCCTCATCTCTACAATAAATCAAAAATTAGCCGGGCGTGGTAGCGTGCGCCTGTAGT